GGGCTATCTTAATTATCCCTTCAAAAGTTTTTTTTCCTCTTACTTAATTGGCCTCGCAGAGTTGGTAAGAGAACTCCCACCTGTTTATGCTCTCTGTATGTGTGTCTCTCTCTCTCTATATATATCCTCAATATTTATTCCACTCTATATGCATCTGAAGAAGTGGGCTGTAGTCCACGAAAGCTTATGCTCGAATAAATTTGTTAGTCTCTAAGGTGCCACAAGTACTCCTGTTCTTTTTGAGGATACAGACTAACACGGCTGCTACTCTGAAACCAGTGGATGATAGTGTAGTTGGACTTTCAGAAAGCCTTTGACAAGGTCCCTCACCAAAGGCTCTTAAGCAAATTAAGCCATCATGGGATAAGCCATCCTGGATCAGTAACTAGTTAAAAGATAAGAAACAAAGAGTAGGAATAAATAGTTTCAGTAATGGAGATAGGCAAGTAGTGGGGTTTCCCCCAAAGACCTGTACTGGGACTTGTGAGGTGGCAAAATTTGCAGATGATACAAAATTATTCAAAATAGTTAAGTCCAAAGCTGAGCAAGAAGAGTTAAAGGGATCTCACTTGACTGGGTAACAAAATGGCAGAATAAATGCAATGTTAAGTGCAAAAAACTGCTCATTTAAAAAAAAAACTACACCTATATAAAGGTGGTGTCTAAATTAGCTGTAGAAAGAGATCTTGGAGTCATTGTAGATAGCTCTCTGAAAACAGCCATTCAATGTGTGATGGCCATCAAAAAATAGTCAGGAACCATTAGGAAAGAGATGATAAAACAGAAAATATCATAATGCCACTATATAAATCCATGGTATGCCCACACCTTGAATGCTGCATGCAGTTCTTGTTGCCCCATCTCCCAAAAGATGTATTAGAATTGGAAAAGGTATAATTTGTGTTGCCCTTCTTTGTTAAGGGTATGGAATAGTTTCTATATGAGGAGAGATTAAAAAGACTGGGACTGTTCAGCTTAGAAAAGAGATGACTGAGGGGATATGATCGAAGTCTATACAATCATGAATGGTGTGAAGAAAGTGAATAAGGAAGTGTTATTTACCCCTTCACATAACACAGGGGCCACCCGATGATATTAAGAGACAGCAGGTTTAAAACAAACAAAAGGAAGTGCTTTTTCATACAACTGACAATTAACCTGTGGAACACATTGCCATAGGATGTCATGAAGGCCAAAAGCATAACTGTGTTTAAAAAAAAATTAGATAAGTTCATGAAGGATATCAATGGCTATTACACAAGATGGTCAGAGATGTAACTCCATGCATGCTCTGGGTATCCCTAAACCTTCAACTGCCAGAAGCTGGGACTGGATGACAAGGGATAGTTCACTTGAAATTGCCCAGTTCTCTTCATTCCCTTTTGGTCATTTGGCACTGTTAGAAGACTGGATACTGGGCTAGATGGATGATTGACCTAGTATGGCCATTCTTATGTTCTCTCGTACTCCAAATTTCAAGGCAAGGCAATCCAAGTAATCATGTAAATTTTAGAGCAGCTAGGAGTCACATTTCAAACAAAGCTTTTCTCAACTTTGAAGATAGCTGAGTGTTAACTGTTGTCAGTTGCAATCTTACTGATTACAGTAGACAAATGTAAACACCTTTTTTTTAAAAGAAATAGTGGACTTTCCACCTTCCCAAGAGAAATGGGAAGACTTAACTAAGTATTGTATTGCATATATGCAAAGTAGTCTAGCAAATTGATTTGTTAGTATTTTTAAATACTGGTAAAATACTTTTTCTGGCCTTACACCCAGGAGGTAACAAAAGGTCAGAAGGTGAAACACAAGACTTGCTTTTAAAAATGCAAAAACTATTAGACTTTTTCCCTTCCTGCTTTACAGGCAATAGAAGATGCGTATGTACCAGTTATCAAGTTTGAATTTGATGGTATTGAGGTAAGAATTAAAGCTTAGTGTCTAGTTAAAATGCAGATTATTGTTTTTTTGCTTTGGAATTTGGATGATATAACACTGGTTCCGGTCTCACTGGCACAACAAGCTATTTTGCAAGGTTATTCATTAGTACTCCAAAGTCTAAGGGCTTGTGTACGCAGCTCTGCAGTTCAAATTATGGGGGTGTGAATTGCAGCATGCACCAAAGTGCTACACTGTAACTGTCACATGTGGACACTGCTGGCATGAACTAAAAGACACCTAGCTTGGGTTAGGACCATGTTAACATGAGCTAGGTGCCTTTTAGTTCATGCCAGCAGTGTCCACATGGGGGAGTTGCAGCGCAGCACTTTGGTGCATGCTGCATTTCAGACAAGCCTTAAGGGATGTCTACACAGCAAAGAAAACCCCCCAGCTGGCCTAAGTCAGCAGACTCAGGCTGCGAGGCTGTTACATTGCTGTGTAGACTTCCGGGCCTGGGCCCGAACACTAGGACTCTCCCAACCTGCAGGGTCCTAGAGCCCAGGCTCTAGCCCAAGCCCAGAAGTTTACACAACAATGAAACAGCTCTACAGCCTAAGCCCAAGTCAGCTAGCACAGGCCAGCCACGGGTGTCTAATTGCTGTGTAGACATACCCTAAGAGCTTGTCTCCACAAACATTAAGCTGGGATGTGAATCCAGCCTGCACTAGGTTGCTGAAGTCTCCTTGTTTGTGTGCCCCCTGCTGACATGAATTAAGTCTTGTTTCAAAGAGGACTAGACCAAAGCGTGTGAACAGACTGTTAATGTATGTCAGCAAAGTACTTGAACAAATAGTCTTATTGTGGGCTAGATTCACTCCCCAGCTTGCCACAAACTAAATGTTCACGTCCTTAAATTACTACAAAGTTAGTCAGGCTCTCATGTGGGCCATGCCTTTCCCCAGATTGCATATACTAAACTTCTATTTTAGGGTATGTCTACACTAGAAACGTAAATTGAGCTATATTAGGTTGATTGACCACCACCTCAGTAATTATTGCTGTGGTGCCTGTCCACACTAACCTCCTTGAGTCGGTGCTGCATGGCCTCCCCAGGTGTGCTTCCACTGGTCTAAGAGAGGCAGTGTGGGGAATTCAGAGGCCTGTCTTTCAGCTCTGCTTGCAGCTTGCCCCACAGGCTCCCAGCGGGCTGCCCCCATCCCTGTTTCCTACCAGGAGCGGGAGGGGGGAGAAGCTGCTCATGGCTTTTTGGCTCCCCACTGGGAGCTGGGCAGCCTGGTCAATTTCCCAGTGGGGAGCGGGAGCAGGGTCCAGTAGCCCAGGGATTTTTGCCCCAGCTCCCAGACAGGAGCAGGGTCTAGCCACCCGGGGTTCCTGCCAAGAAATTGACAGAAAGCCAACAGCTGATGTAAGTAACACACACACTGCATTGCCCTAACTATATGGACGTAAGCCCTATGCTTCTCATGAAGGTGGAGTTGTGATGTCAATATAGTAGGGCACTTACCTCATTGGGAGCAAGGCTGTAGCATAGACACTGACATAATTAGGTCGACATAAGCTGCCTTATGTAGACCTAACTGTGTAGTGTAGACTAGGCCTTAGTAGAAAAAATATCTGCAGGATGAAAATAAGAGCTAGGGTTTTGGGATACACATGTTCCTACTCACTGACCCCTTTTCTTCTCCCTATTGCCGCTACAATGTATAGCATGAATTGACTTGAGTAAATGTGGTGAGACTTTCAAGGAAGAACCTATCGCATTAACAAAGCAAAACAGACTTGCCACCTTTTAGAACAGGATTTTCCAGTTTGTCCCTGAGGCCTCTTGTGACCCTTCAAGGAAACTTACTTAAATACACATTTTCTTATGAATTAAAAATATGTTCCCTGAGCCACAGACTCTTAAAATGAAGTCTTTGAATTAGCTCTCACTGCAGTGAGTGGAGAGTGTTGCAGAGGAAGGCAGTTCTGTGGAGTAGTTCTGGTGTGAGCCAGATGTGCGCTGAGCAACTACCGTCCCTTCTCTGCTGTAGCCACTTAGCTTCCTGCTGGCTGGCTACCATATTCCAGCAGAGGGAGGTAAGTAGCTCATTTGCTCCAGTCTGCCAGAGACCCAGAGCAGGATTTTGTCTCCAGAAACTGTCCCTGAGCAAGGGAAGGGGTTTCTAAGTGCAAAAGCTGGTTCTCTTCCCCCACATGGTTACCCTGGGAAAGACAAAGCTGGGAACTAGCAACCAGTTCTCTCTGAATCTCAGCCCCAGGTTCCTTGAGTCATCTGGCAAATGGTTCCTTAAGACTAAGCTGGGGAAAGGTGCAAGCACATTCCAGCAACTCTTGGGGCTGTGCAGGAGGAGCCATATGAGCTGGTTGAATACATTAGCTGGGCAAAATAATAAACAGGTAGTTGCAGAAACCAGTTGATCAAACAGCGAGATAGCCACATGGGACAAACGTGAAAGTTTGAGGAGCAAAAGTTGAGGCAGTGATGGCAAACAAAGGCTTCTAAAAGTTCCTCATTTAAGTCCTGGTTCACAGTGTCTGCCAGTTGCGGGGAATGCTGTCAGAAGTAAGTAGTGTGTTTGAGGATCAGGGTGCTATTTACTTGTTCTATGTTGACATTTCTATGTGCTAACATAATAATATAATATGGAGCTATACCTCTCTCATAGAACTGGAAGGGACCTCGAAAGGTCAAGTCCAGCCCCCTGCCTTCAATAGCAGGACCAAGTATTGATTTTTGCCCCAAGTGGCCCCCTCAAGAATTGAACACTCAATCCTGGGTTTAGCAGGCCAATGCTCAAACCACTGAGCTATTCCTCCCTCCATACTTGTTCTATGGTTAATACCTAAACAGTACGTTACCAGAAAGTCTTGGCACTGTATATTGGTGTAGACTTTAACTCTTTTACAAAAGTAACTTATTGTTTACAATCCCACTTAAACTGTCTAAATACTAAATATACATCAAGGAACAGGAGCTGCAAAATGAGAGGGAGTTTCAGAGAACTTAGGTAACGACTGGGTTTTTTTAGTCTTTCCTGTTTTGGATCACTATCTAAACAAGATATTGTATTTTGGGTCCTTATTTCCTTGAGATTAAGCACTGCTTTCATATAAGTAGGCCAGATTGCTATTTATCCTCTTCCTTCCCCCCCCCCCCCAAACTGAACTGTATTACTATATTGCCTTAATATGTTGACAAGACAAGTCAGACTACTCAGAACAGTACATCTGCTCTGATGGGCGGATACCTCCTAGAAAAATGAAACTGTTGGCAGAGCAGTATAGTGTTGCTGATTTGACTAAATCAAAATCTAAAAATTCAGAGGATAGGAGATTAAGAAACAGTACTGAAAACTAGGGATGTAAATATTGGTTTTAAAAGTTAACTGGTTAAATTATATCATTTAACCGGTTAACCAAGGTCACTGCGGCCGGCCTGGCACGGCGGGGGCAGGGGTAAAAGTTAAGGTCGGTTAAGGGTAAGCGTAATGCTTATTTGTTTAGAAAACCTCCACTTCTTGAAAATTTTGTTTTGAAAATTAAATTATAGACAAAATGGCTTCTTCCCTTTTAATAGGCCGTGGGGGAGGGGGGGAGTGGCCTTTCCTGTCAAAAGAGACAATGTGAAATTTCAAACAAAGCAAAAAAAAAAGTTTCCCATGAAACATACTTCTTGACACTTCCAGTATATGTCCTGTTTTCTTGATATATCTAATGCATTAAATCCTAATAATCTGGTAATGAACTCTCCAGATTTGCGCAGTTGTAGCATTCATTGAGGAGAATTTAAAATTGTTACTTAGCTTATACTTCTCTATAGATGCAAAGTATAATGCACTTTAAATTTTTCTCCCTAAGATTGATCTTGTGTTTGCAAGGCTGGCTGTACAGACTATTTCTGATAACTTGGATCTTCGAGATGATTCACGTCTAAGGAGCCTGGATATAAGATGTATACGAAGCTTAAATGGTAACTTCTGTTTTAATCTTAAACCTGATAACTCTTATTCATGTGGGATAAGAACATATTTTGTAAAATGTTAAGTTGAATTAGAAATGGACATGTATTTTGTTTACAAATTACTACCTTTTCCAAATTTGTACAAAAAAGACATTACTCCTGTTGCATAGATTCCTAATATTCTCCTGTATGCGTTATTGGATGAGATCTGAGATATTCAGATACCACCGTGATGGGTAGGTTAAAAAAATCTGGATAGATAAAGGTCCTGTCAGTTCTGGATATTAGACACTTTAATGGGTCGGGCAAATGTCTGACCATACCCAACATTTTCCTGATTCTTTGTTCACTGTGCTTATGCCAGTTGGTTGCCTCTTCCACTACAGGGGGAGCTGTATTCCAGTGCCACTGTATGTAAATAGCTAAAGCTGGGGTGGGCAACCTTTCAGAAGTGGTGTGCCGAGTCTTCATTTATTCACTCTAATTTAAGGTTTCGCGTGCCAGTAATACATTTTAACATTTTTAGAAGGTCTCTTTCTATAAGTCTATAATATATAAACTAAACTATTATTGTATGTAAAGTAAATAAGGTTTTTAAAATGTTTAAGAAGCTTCATTTAAAATTAAATTAAAATGCAGAGCCCCCCAGACTGGTGGCCAGGACCCAGGCAGTGTGAGTGCCACTGAAAATCAGCTCATGTGCCGCCTTCGGCACGCGTGCCATAGGTTACCTACCCCTAAGCTAAAGCATTTGACATGAGGTGATAACTATAAAAGTAAACTATTGCTATGAATTACTTAAAGTAAAGGAAATCTTCTGATACTTCGAGCTTAACCTCACTACTCAGCAATCCTGAGTTTTGTCTAATTGTGTATGGCGCTTAAAACTGACCGACTTGGCTCTCGGATCCACTCCCACCTCCAAATGATCTCATGGCCTTTCACTTGTTAAAAATTGGTTGATTATAGCTGCAGCCTAAACTCTAAAAACCTCTGATATTCACAAGGTATGTGGATGCATACTAGAGGATACTAACATGTCTGCTAACCATATTTACAGTAGTAAACTATGGATCTAAAAGCAATTGTTATCCAATGCTTACTTTAGAAACCCTTTCACCAAGACAAAGTGGTAAACTAGTAAAAACCTGAGATTATTAAATTTGCAATTTAAATCTCTCTTGCAGGTTGCAGAGTTACTGATGAAATTCTGCATTTAGTGCCACACAAGGAGAACTTCAGACTAACACTTAGAGCAATTAAACTGTGGGCAAAACGTGAGTAAAACAGTCATTCTTGATCTCTACCCAGAAGCTTAATTGTTCTTGAAAAGTTCGTGAAAATCTAGATAACTAAAGGCTGAGAGTAACATGTCCAACCACTTGAGGAATATTTCATGGGGTAACTCAGGAATCTTTTAAAATGCCAAACTTGCCATGTATGTGATTGTGAATAAGAACTGTGATCTTTATTTCAAAACTAAATTTTATTCCGACATGCTAAAGTAGTAAACACTCATAAATCGGGTATTGAGTAGTCATGATGCTAGGTAAATAGTCATACATAGAAGGTGAGGCAAATGTCTCCATGGGGGTCAAAGTAGCTTAAAGCATGTTCATATATTTGTCATGAGAACTGCTGAACACAACCTTTTTACACCATAACCCTCTACTTTTCATGTGCCTATTTGCACAATGGACTATATAAACTTAACTAACATTCTTCTTTGAGTGTCCTCTGCATATTTTCAGTCTTGGGATGTGCTGACCAGTGCAATTTGGACAATGGAATTTTCTGGTAAGAGTGCTCATTAGAGCGCTCCCACACCCTTCCTGCCCCTCACCCCAGTGTTTGAGTACATTCTGAGGCTTTGGCACCAAATCTGCCTCAGTCTCTTCCAACTGCAATGGACAGATGGATGTGGACTTCTCTAGATCTTAGATCCATAGTTTAAGTGCCTTGGTGGTGGGTGGGAAGGAGGTGTGTTTTTGTTTTTCTTTAATGTTTTTTTAAAGATTAATCAATTACTAGTGTTAGGTTAGGTTTTAGGATAGTTCAGATATTCAGCAGGACTTTTTACAGGTGTCCATGGCAGATCTGAAGATGAAGAAACATGGCTTTAAAAGATATCATGCCATGCAGTCAGACATCCTTACCAGATGTCTTAAATGCCTTGGGAAAGGCATTCCCCTTTGCCTTGCACTATTTATAGTACATTCGTTCCCCAGGCCAGAAAGACTCCAAGCCTTCTTATTGCAGGAAGCGTTGACTGCCAGACCTCTGGGATTGTAGGTGATGAAGAGATCTGAAGGAAAGGATAGGAGGCCTGAATAGGCTCAGAGTATTTCTGCATCCAAGCAGAATACCGTGGTAAAGGTGTCTGCCTCCGCACCAAGCTCCGGTTGCAAATCAATGGAGCTATCGGTACCTAAGACATCCAATCTGGTTCCAAAACACTCGAGCCCCTCTGACATTCTGGGGGGCAATCTAGACCAGTGGGGGGTTGTCAGCACTATCCTGCAAACTTAGGTGCCTCACAATGCTTTGCTGCTGTAGCTCTCACCTGGGCCACTCAGACTTCCAGCACGCAGGTAAGATCCTGAGTATCTGTGTATACTGAAGCCTGTTATCCACACATCAGTCACACTTTGGCTTCCACCAGGTTTGGTTATCACTTGCAAGGTGACCCCAACATATTCCCAGTCCCAAAGTTTTCCCCCAAAATGTGTTCTGTACTGTCCAGCCCTGTCCTGGACAGTCCAGGTAACTTAGAGGGGCAATGGATCGAATATTTCTACCCTAAATGGAGTTACCTGCACAGTTTAAAACACTGGATTAGTTTTGATTAAAGAATGAAACAAACTTATTTAACTACAAGGAGGTAGGTTTTAAGCAAGTACAAGTATAAAGCCGTAAAGTCAGAGAAATGGATACATGAGAAACAAAGATAAAATGCTTCCTAGTACTAAAACTTAATAAACTAGACTTGGTTCAAGGTGAAGTCCCTTACCATGTGTTCCCAGTAACATTGCTGACTGAATTCTCAGGCCAGAACCTGCTCCCAAAGTCCAAAGACTGTTTCTTTCCTCTTAAGGGAAAGACTGAGAGATGGTTAGGGAAAGATAACTTGGGGTCTTTGCCCCTCACTTTTACAGTTCAGTCACACTCTGAAACACATTTTTCTGAGGGTTACCCTCAGATAAAATTCATTCCCACTGTGAGGATGGAGACAAGGAGTCTGGTGGTGAAAGAGGTTCCATACTGTTTGCTAAAATGTAGATTGATCTGTTCCTGCCCTGCTTCTTTGCCACAGAATCATCATTTGACAGGTGATTGCCCATCAATTTTGACATCTGGCTAGAGGCATCAGCTTGTCCTTTGTCTTTAAGAAACTGGTTTACCCAGACTTATCTGGTAAACACATTTCAGGCCTAATTTCAGCTTATGTTCATAACTTAACATATAATGTTGCTATATGCATTTCACCATGATATTATTCAGCAGCAAGTTATTAATTTTCAAATTATACCTCACAAGGCATATTTTGTACAAAGATTATTACAATGGTTTGTAGGGAGGCGGTTCCAGATAAGGGACCCAAACAGCTAGATAACATACCAGAACAAAGAACTTCATTACCAAGGAAAAGGAAGGCTAAATCAAAACATGTCTGACCTCCTCTCTCTGGTGACTCATCAAAAAAATTCTCACCATTATCCCTTCTACAAATTCCAATTTCAGTCATTTCACCAATAGGTTTCATTATTGGGTCTGCTTGTGTATATAGTTTTAGAAGTACCCTTAGGCTAAATCCTAACTAAATAAATACTGATGTGATGCCCTCACCAGGTTTTAAACACTGCCTGTTGTGTGGGGTGGCTATCCCTAATAGGGACCCCCCCACACACACACACTGCATTTACTCTGCCTTGGAGAAGGGCACATTTAAAGGAAAGTGCTCTATCTGTATGTCATTCAAAGAGAGCACTGGGTGATTAGAGATTTCTGCTTGAAGCAGCACCTTATGGAGCAGGCCATGAGCTTGCTTTGGTACTGGAGAACTCTGCCAATTGTCCAATCTCTCAGAGCACTTCAGAGCCGGTAGGGGCTGTTCCACAGCCAGATTCTGATTTCTATCTTAATTGGAAGAGAGATCATTCTCTGAGGAAAAGGAGAGCCATTGCAAAGCTAGGAGAGATTCCTCCTCCTCCTAAGAGGAGTGCAGACTGACACAGAGATTCCTCTAGTACACAGGATAGTGGTGGGCTGTCTTACTCTCTTGTACTGAGATGAGAACAATTGGACAGCATACTGTCAAGTCCGGTACCAATGACATTGGTGTTGACACCGATTTGTTTCTGCTCTGACATATCAGGCAAATCTGACTTGCTTTGCCTTTCTGCTCCAGACATTCTATTAATTCAGCACCACTCAACTGTGGTGGCCTCTTCTGTGTTATCAATACCTCATAGACTGGGTTAGATTATTCACTGTTGCCAGCACTGTCTTCTGCACCGCTTAAAAATCAGGATACAGAGCTGAGTTTGGCCCCTTTATCGGTACTGAGGGGTCATCAGTGCAGCTACAATCTTCAGTAATGGACAGTTTAGGAGCAGACCACATCTGCAGGACTGGTACTGGGCTCGACTTCATGACTGATGTCCATTTCAGTGTCGTGTGAGTGCAATACCCCTACCGCTACTCCAGGCACCAGCTGCTTTGCCATCGACAGCATTGATGCAGCCTGTACATTGGGCTTCAGATGAGTCTGGATGTTTGCCTGCTCTACCTGAGTGGTTCCTCCATTGCCACAGGACTGCTTGGAAGGTTCTTCAAGAGAGAATTTGGGAACATCTTCTGCCTCTCCGTCACCTTCAAAATACCATTCTCAAAAGTCTGAGACCTCCTGGGGAATCACTAGAGGTACAGATATTAGCACTGCTCCCACAGTAGAGATAAGGGTCTTGGTCCAGTTCCTACTGGCCACCAATCCTCAATGGCCTCCTTGGGATGTTCCTCAGTCTGCAAGGTCCCAATGCTTAGGTTAGTCCAGGGCAAGGTCACTGATCTTTGTTCATCTCCATTCTGAGCTAGTTTAGCCTCAACCATTGTTACAGGGGTAGGTGTTTCCACAGGAGATTTCATTGGTTCCACTTCATTTTTCTTTCTCCTCGCTGGATGATTCTATGGTGCCAGCTTCCTCTTGTCCTGTACCTGAGGATTTTAAGTCGTATCAAGATCTCCTGAGGTGAATGGCTACAAGCTTGGGCATTCAGACAGAGTTTGTTCAGGACAGTACTAATAAGTTGGTATATTTTCTCGAGTTCTCTCCAGCGAGAGTAGCTCTCCCTATAAATGAAGCACTTTTTGGAGCCTGCAAAAATGTACCTTACGTTCCTTTCCACTCTCAGTGAAGCATACTGAAAAGAGGTATTGTGCCCTTATGCAGGGTTTTCAGTGCTTCTACTCTCATCCAGCCTCTAACTCACTTGTCATAACGGCAGCAAGTGAGAGGTTGTGTCAAGGGAGATATAAGTCAGCACCTAAAGACCGAAAAATCTAAAAGGTTAGATTTAATGGGAAGGAAAAACTTACTCAACCTCTTCTTTAGAAATTCACATTGCTAATCAGCAGGTGCTGTTAGCCTCCTAATTTACAAAATCCTATGTCCAAATTTACATATAAATTGCTAGAATCCTCCAGGGAAGAGTTTAAGACATTCATTGTGGAAGGTTGTCTGGTGGCCAAGACGTCACTGCAATACACGGAGGACACTCTTCTCTCCCCCTCCTCCCACCCCCTGAATTATTATCTTGGCTGTAACAATGAGAAGAGCCTCATGGTTACAGACTTCTGGCATAGCTTCTGAGGTCCAACAAAGCATAGAGGATTTACCTTTTGATGGTTGGTTTTTGTTTCCAGAAAAAAACATGGAAGGCAGCAGAAGCAGCAATACCATTCACAGTTACTTCTGGCAGTCAGCTTACCCCACTAAGCAGCAAGGCTTCTCTAGGAAGGGACATAAGTCCCAGCAGAGGTTGTTTCCTGGTCCCAATAGTAACCAGCCAGCCCCTCACCTATCAAGAGCAACACTCCAGTTATCAACTTCCCGACCATATAATCTCCATTTGGGGGCAAGCTATTTCACTTTTACAGGGCTTGGGGAAACAGTAACTATCATAGAATATCAGGGTTGGAAGGATCATCTAGTCCAACCCCTTGCTCAAAGCAGGACCAATCCCCAGACAGATTTTTGCCCCAGATCCCTAAATGGCTC